CGTGATGAATATATGAAAAATTAGAAGTGAATCTGCAATTTCCATCACCCGAAAATGAAACCTGTGTAACAAATGGCGACAATGTTTGTGAGATCAAAACATACTTGTAAGCCGATAAAATGTAATTATCTAGTGGCGTTGTGTAAATAAGGTTTTTAAGTATTACGTTATGAAGTTTTTAATGAAATATCAGGTTAGAGTTACTTATGATGAATTCAATGAAATGTAAAGCCAGAGCTATTTATGATGAATTCAGTGCAATACGAGGCATGTGTTACCGATGAAAATATAACGCACCGTATTGAGGAAATTATTAGAAACACTATGATACAGGATTTTTGACATTAAAGATTTTCAAACGGTATTTATGGATATTTTACAAAAACAAAACCAAAAAAAAAAAAAAAAAAAAAAAAAAAAAAAAAAATCTGTTTGCTTTACTTTTATATCCATTATGTGTTTGCTGCTAAAACAGAGTAATTTGTTAAAAAATAATAATAATAATAATAATGGCACCATTTTGCAGCTACCACTCTTCTGACAAACCAAAAATAATGAATTGTAAAAATACAGGGTGTATAAATCTAATAATTTTATTTTATAGGCAAATATCTCGCGAACTGAAAAAGTGTTGAAATTTCTCGTGAGAGATCATGATTTATATGCTTGAAGCGAGAAATAAAACAGCTGTTGATAGCTAATCACAATTCGGCACTTAATGACAAAAAAAAAAAAAAAAAAAAAAAAAAAAAAAAACGCTTTCAAAAATTGTAATACCTTAGCTTTTTCACATTTTATTATTATTTTCCGCAATAAATCACGTTACATTTGTTTCCGCTTTCTCCACTTATTTCTTTTCGCATGAAAACGTTTCTCTCTTCGAAACGCTGAAAATTTCCTCCCCACTTCTGTAACATAGAAACTGGATTCAACAACGGTCAAGCGGTGCAGTCGCTGAACACTGGCAGTCCAGTTGAAAGGGGGGGGGCTCGAATCTCGAGAACGGGCTGGCTGCGTTTTCGTGGTTTTCCTCATGTGTAATGTGTATGCAAGTCATTTCCCTTAGATTGTCCTCCACGAAGGCATCATTTGCTCTTAGGCTCGAGTACTTTGCCATAATGAAATAAACCAAACCGAAATAGTACAGAGACCTATGTCTAATTACTATCGAAACTGATTTCAAAATCTACTACAGAAAGTTGATTTTTTGTATGATTTTAAAATCCGTAGTTTCTTTAGCGTTAAATAAATAAAATAAAAAATGTGGTACTTATTCAGAAACCTTCTCGATGGGTTTCCTGGAAACAGCCTTTTCTTCAGATGAATATGGATGAATTTTACTAAAACACTGTCGCATGTTTTTTGTCTACATGTACGATTTGTTAGCTAAACGTGCTGTCGGTTAAATATCCGGGATACCCATACCTTCTCCGGGATTCAAACCCGGGGCCTCTGGTATTGCAGTCGGCTCCCCTAACCACTATACCGTCTGGTCGGCTTAAAAGGGGGAGTATATAAATTATTTTCTCCATCCTTCCAGCATGCCTTCGTGGTGTAATGGTAGCATACTCGGGGCGTATTCGAGAGGTCCAGGCTCGAGTCTTGGCTATAGCATTGCTTATTTTTCACATCTCTTGCTTCAAAATAACCTAATGACTCTACAAGGTGATAGCGTTTTTTTTTGGGGGGGGCTGCTTTCCAGGCTTCAAGTCTGGCGGTATTATCGCCGTTTTCCATTGCTCCGGAAAATACTGACTTTGAAAACAGCACTGATGATTTTCATAAACTTGAATAACACAAAAATGCCCATTTCTTTGAGCATCTTCATGCTAATATTATCTAGGCCTGGGCATTTTCTGGTTTTCCGTTTCTCAATAAAACTTCTTCTAATGACATATCCGGTGAGGATGATGTTCGTGTTAAGAATTGGATGACTACCAGAGAACGAAATGTTCTATCTTAGGATGAGAGATGTTGTTAATGCCAAACGGAGAAGCATACTTATCAGCTAGTAACTCAGCTTTCTCAGTTTCAGTGTAAGCATCTAATTCATTCCTCGTACATATCGTGGGTAATGTGTGCTGTGTATTGCTTAGAGCTTCGGAAAATCCATTCCAGTTCGTAATAAGGGCTCTTTTGAGTGGTATACTGTAGTTAATGATATTAAATTCCGCAAAGGTTATGGTCGGAAGAAAGCTTGCGTATGCTGTCAGTATAAATTGGAGGTAGAATATTTATGAGTACGAAAATAATCCAAAATGCCCGGATTACCAGTACTATAGAGTGTTGGGTCATTTGGAGCTGCAACAGCTATGTTAGCGTTTTGGGCAAAATCATATATTAGGTTACTGTATTTAGAGTTAATGTAGTTCCAGGATCTGTGGCGCATGCATTAAAATCTCCAGCTATAATGATACGATTGTTTATGTTCGATAGAGTACGCATATCGTGATATACATCTCCGACTTAGTTTCTGGATGGGATATAGGTGGAGATAACAGTGAATTTACGTGTATTATGTGATGTGACTGTAATAGCTAGTGCCTCTACATCCTCTACGTCTTATCTTATGGGGTAGTGAGCAATGGAGCGTTTTACTAAAATTAGGAGATCTTTCCGGGCTTTTCCACCAATGGCGGGACTTCCTGATCCCAGTCGCTGAGTAACATAATTTGGAGCATAAAAATCGTTGTACGGACCAAGCATGTGTTCTTGGAGGAGAAGAATATCGGAACTGTACTCATGTATGAATTCCTTAAATTGTTGGCATTTCTCGAACAGGCCACTTCCTTTCCATATGACAATTTAAAGAGAATTATTACAATTATGCATTACCATTATCTTTAAGTTCAGAAACAATTTCAATGAATGCATACGTTTTGTCGAGGCCCGGTGGCACAGTGGCTAGCGCATCGCGCAGCAGCACCGCAGGACCCGGGATCGATTCCCGGGATGGGCAAGGTCGACTCAGCCTTTCATCCCTTGATTTCCATCATTTGGGTCGATAAAATGAGTACCAAGTTCGCTTGGGGACTAAACACTGGAGGTCCTGCGACAAGATGATCACTTGTTCAGGGGCATATGTTTACGCAATCGGGGGCCCACGGTCAAGAAAGCAGGTTTCGGGCCCTGCAGGCCTCAGCTCATTACGGCTGTTACGCCACTGAGTTTAGTAGCATACGTTTTGTCAATATTACTAACATATGCCCTGAGTTTAGGCATAAATTTCTTAAAAGCTTTGTTCATAGAAATTAATTTATTTTTACCAAAGATTTGTTTAATTTCAGACATAAAATTAAAAATTTCTAGAAAGTCCTAATGAGAAAGGTCTAGTCCTTGGTTGGTTTTACCATTGGCTTTATTCATATTATGTTCTTTAGTATTACTTACATTTATTAAATTGTCACCTACAGTTTGTGCAGCAATAACTGGTTCAGGATGCCATTGACTTTCTGTTTTTATAATTTTCTTGTTATTTTGAATTTTTAACATTTAGCTAAGCAAAGCTAATGCCGGGTTTGAGAGTCTTATCTTTTCTTTTCTTGGTGTTTCTGAACTTCGAAAATGCTGGACATTCGCGATAAGAATCGAATGTCCTGTACTATTACAAGTTAATACACTTTGTTTCTTCTATTTTCCTTGTTGAGACAATCAGTGGTTCTACGCGACACTGAATATTTTACACATTTGGGCTCAACGTAGGAGTTCTCGGAAGAACGGTGCCACTTTTGGCAGTTGTGCCATTGAGGTATTTGATTTTTTTTTGTATGTATTTTTCCATCCAACTGAAAAGAGTATCAAGTCTGTGATAACGTCAATTTTTTCTGCTATTTTATTTTGGATGACATTAATTAAAAACAGACGCATGCGGTTAGCCCACGAATGACGACTTTGATTGGTTTATTGTATTTAACATTTAACACATAGTGTTCTATGTGTTTTTCTTGGAATAGTACATTGAGTGTCCTGTGATCTCCCTATAAGGTAAGATTTAAGATACTCGCCGTTTAACTTGCTAAGAAATTTGAATTCTGTGGTTTGTGAAAGTTGACTAAGGAAATCTTCAAATGTTAGTGTGCCTGGCTTAACCATGATGGAAGTAATACCTGGATTTTTAGTATCCCATTGTTTTGCATCAACTGCACAGATTACGCTTATTTTCATTACGTTTAGTGGGCATCAGATTTATTTTATAGAAGCATAGAATGTTTTTTCTCTTCCACTTTGAGATGTTTGACCGTTTATTCGGCAACTTAAAACCTTCATTACCATTGGTCATATTTGCACATATATCAATATTTTGAGAAATAATTTTTCTTTTGCTAATGCTCCTGTTGAGAACTAAACCAGAGGTTATAAAAGTTAACTTACCCCATATTTCAGTAAATTCCCCTCCGTAGAGCAACCAGTTGTTCAGCAAAAATGTCTGTTATTCTGGTATCCATGTCTATTGCATCGCGTCTTTGCTGGAGTACAAGCACAGTGAGCTTAATGCGATCGCACTCTAAATCCAGTTCTTGTTTACTGTAGTAGTAATTCTGCGTATTTTGGCCGAGTCTTCCTCAGATGAAGTACTGGCATCGACGTTAATAGTATCGATTTGCATGTTTGCAGATTAGCCTAACGGCGGAAAATCATCTTCGTTTGTAGTCATAACATGTAACGTACGTCCTACACTCATGAGCACAGGAACGGGAATGATTTGGTTCAAATGACACTACATCACAAAAACTATCGTCTGCTTTTGAAAATTATTACTTGCTCAGCAAAATATATTAGCCATTATATATTTGAACTGAACATGCCAATATTTTATAAATTAAGAAGTTTAACTAAATAACTAATTAATTCAAAATTCGTCCTAAAAACTAAACAATTCAATTCGCAGGTTAGAATTCTTATTTTAAATATTTTGTTTTCACCATTGTTGCACAAAATTATATTTGGAAAATACAGCAAGATAAATTAAGGACTACATAATAATATTCTTTTATCTGTAGAGTGATGATGTCCCAACTGTTGAAGAAGATAAAACGTGGCCCGGTTTTCCCTACCTAGGTCAAGTATCCGGTATTGTAGTAGATGGAGATGGTAACCTTCATATTTTTCACAGAGGTGACCGAGTATGGGATGCTCAGTAAGTATTATTTTTATTGGAAGCACTATTATAATTTAACTAAATAAAAATGACTTTTAGAATTAGTCTTAGAATGACTTAATATATCAAAATATTTTTAAGCAAAATAATTTTTATTGGCTCTGAGAGTTTTGTTATGAGCTAAAATTTGCTATATTTGCTAGTATAAGCTTTGTCAAAACTATAGGCTAATTTAAAGTAATTTCTTTGCTGAAGTTTGGTATTCATAATATCTGTGTACGTAGCGTATTCGGAAACTAAGTACCGTTTCATTCTAGCGCCGTCGCAGCCTTGTGGTAGGCGTCCCGCGCATGCGCACTAGTCTTTCTTGTTCACTGACTTTCAATTGTCGCCATTTTGGTTGCTCTATGTTGTGTTTCCAGTTTGCTGTGCACATTCATAATGTTTAAGACAATTAGTTCTCCCGCTGACTGTGAGATTCGTGCCGTGATTAAATTTTTGAACGCGAGAAATGTTAAACCGGCTGAAATTTATCGTCAAGTGACAGAAGTTTACGGTGAATACGCGATAAGTGATGGAATGGTGAGAAAGTGGGTAAGAATGTTTAATGCAGGTCGAACAAATGTCCACGCCGAGGCTCGGAGTGGTCGGCCTTCTCTTCCACCGATGATTTGGTAAGGAAAGTTGATGAAGCAATTCATGAGAACAGACGCTTCACAATGACATCTCTCTCAGAGGCATTTCCACAAATTTCACGTACTGTTTTGTTCGAAATTGTGTCTGACCGCTTGAATTATCGCAAAATGTGTTCCCGATGGGTTCCAAAAATGCTCACTGATGTTCACAAAACAAAGCGACTTGGTAGTGCCCTGACATTTCTCACGCGGTACAGTGATGAGGGAGAACACTTTTTAAACCAAACTGTGACAGGTGATGAAATTTGGGTGTGTCATTTCACACCAGAATCTAAACAACAATCGATGAAGTGGAGACACACTCATTCTGCGAAAAAACAAAAGTTCAAAGTGACAATGTCATTACAAAAAGTCATGTGCACTGTCTTCTGGGATAGGAAAGGCGTTTTGCTTACTGAATTTCTTCCCAGAGGTGAAACCATTAATGCGGCACGATATTGTGAGACTTTAACAAAACTAAGGCGTGCCATTCAAAACAAACGAAAAAGAATGCTCAGTAAAGGAATTGTGCTGCTCCATGACAATGCTCGGCCCCATACTGCTGGTGTCACTCAATCGTTAATTCGACAGTTTCATTGGAAGCAGTTCGATCACCCGCCGTACAGCCCGGACTTGGCGGCGTCCGACTATCACTTGTTCCTGCACATGAAGCGCGAGCTTGGTGGCAAGTGCTTTGGATCTGACGATGACACGAAAAATGCTGTGGAGTCGTGGTTATCGAAACTGGCGGGAAGTTTCTTTGACGATGGTATACAAAAACTGGTCACCCGCTATGACAAGTGTTTGATCATTGGCGGAAACTATGTTGAAAAATAGTTTAAGACATGTATTTTCATGTAAAAATAAAATTGGATTCGAAAAAATTGTTTTACTATTTTTTTTTTTTTCAAAACGGTACTTAGTTTCCGAATACGCCTCGTAAGTTATTTGTAAGCAGAGATTAATATATTAAATCGTAAAGTAAGAACTTTACTAACAAACTATTCCAATAGTGATCAGCAGTTAATTAAATCAAGAGACAAATATATCCAAGGACTTATATACCAAGTCTACAACAGTCCTTATCCGGTCTTTATTTGGGTGACGCTAGTAGTCCAATTATAAAAGACTCTAAATAGCTATGATACATGAAAACCATGAAATGCCTACAAACACAGAAGCAAGGGTCATAACTACCATTGCTTCAGAGTTAATTCAACGTAACTTTAAAATAATGAAATATATTTGATTTTACATTACTAACGGCGCAGGCAGCAAAGTTATTGGCGTAAAGGTTCATATTTGGACGTGTTTAAACTTTAAAAAAAAAATTAGTTTTATAAAAATTACGAAATTTAACATTTCATATGTTCCTTCGGTCACTCTACTTATATTTAGAAAAATTTTGCACTCGTTATAAAAAATAAAATGCAAATTTGACACTAGGATAAAAATTGACTGAGGTATTTGGAATTAAAAGTCGAACATCATATTCAGGGGTTGTACACAAATCAAACAGACAATATTTGCATTTGTACATAAGTAAACATAAAATATCCGTATAAAATGGTTTATGATGTTAAAGATTAATAATTGATAGGCAGTTCAATACTGATTATTGTAAAAAGTATGAATCAATATAATTTTTTTTCAAAATGGAGAACATTCACAGAATCTTATAGAATTCGTGTTCTAAGCGGTGACAAGCTTCAATATTTTCATATGACCAATTTCTAATATTATTTAAAGTAATTGAAAAGGAAAAATATTTCTAATTTAAGTATTTTTTTGTATGGATATCATATTATGATTCTAAATTAACAAAACGTCATGAGGTAGCAACAACAATGTATTTTTAGATTTTCAAAACTTATAAATTATTTGAGTGAAAATTATTTCAGCTCAGCATATGTATAGCTTAGCATAGTTATAAATTAAGACAATGGTAAATCACAAAAACGTATCATTAATGCATTTAAGGTGAAAAAATCAGCATCGAATTATTCTAATTTATTTAACTGACTCCTTAATTTAAACTGAAAATGACGTAAAAAATGGCAAATTTTTAAATTAAATATCTCGATCTAATTTCGTGGTATTAGGTGAAGCAAACGTTTTTCATTTTATTTTTATAAGGCATATATAAATATAGGGATATTAGGAATATATATAAGTTACATTTCATTATTTTCACAGATTGTCAGTTTTAAATGTAAAAATGCCAAAATATGAATCTTTACATCATTTAAAATATTTTTTTTATTTAAAAGTATATGTCTATGGTCAACGGTTACGAAAATAAAGGTCGAGTAAGGATTTTGTGGACCGGGTGTATAAGATTACTTAAGACACAAGGTGTGCAATAAAGTAATCGGAACAATTTCTTCAATAAGAAAATGCTCACTAACCTTAAAATAAATTCGTGTGCTTCAAAATAATCTCCAGAGGAGTCTATACAATTTTTTCACGTTTCTTCAGGTAACTGAAACGCTGTTTATAGGCGTTCTCAAAATATGCGTAACTTTGAAGTGAAGGGCGGCCTTTCTTTGGTTTATCTGGCAACGCTTTCAGGCCACGTTTAAAGCGGTCATACAATTCATACAATTGTGTCCGTGACACCGATGCATGACCATATACTGTTCGAATCATCCAGAGCTCGATTATCTCAGCAAAATAAGTACGTGCTTAGGATACCAAGGGAAAAGGGAATCATAAACAGATCCTTAGGAATACAGGAAGGGGGGCATCGCAAAAATTTTCTACTGTGTGTTCTATATAGTGCAGGTAAAGCAAGACCGAGAAAGAAGGAATGAGAAAAAAGAAGGCGTATCTTTATGTGCGTGGGAGAGAAGACATCAAAATCTTTTAAATACTTAGTGTCTCTAAAAGTCTTGATCTGTCCCTGCAATCATCTTGTAAAGTCTTGTATTCTTAGGAAGCATACAATATCGACTTAAAAAAAAAAAAAAAAAAAAAAAAAAAAAAAAAAAAAAACCTCTAGCAGAAATTTCTAGCAGAATTTTCTTCTAGTCTTGCGAAAAAAAAAAAAGTCAGACAGAAAAAGAATGTATAAGATCTTTTTATTTGAACACAAAGAAATAATGATCAAACTTCGTTTACACAAGCCAGCACTTCTGGCTTAACTTAGATAAGTAATGTTGAATTAAATTAATTGTAATAAATTAGAGTAACGTCTCACAGGATAAAGTAACGTGAAGGAAAGGCTCTAGTTTGCAGAAAACCGGCGAAACAGGTCTAATGGCTAGAAGCACTGAATGCCACAAAATCAAATCGCTAATAAGTCATGGTTCAACGTGGCTTGAAATAGGCAGAACACGCTCTAAAATTAACTTGCGTAATCTTCGCTTGAATAGTACTTCTTTCTCCGTCAATCTGAATCAACGTTCGCTATTTCGTTCACATTCTGGCATGAAAAGTGTGAGTGAAAAGAGAGTGACAGAAAAGTAATTGAACTTAAAATCAACTATTAGTTAATATTAAAAATAAATAGATAAATCGTCACGATCTGTAAGGTTTCGGTAGCAGATTTACCTAATTGTTGACAAAATTTAATGTGATAACATTATCCCAATTCGAAGCAAACTTTTTGGTACAATGTCTTCTCAGTAAATGAAAATGATTCCGCCATTTTGATATGCAGATGCCAAAATAGACAGTTTTAACTGGCTTTAACAAGAGTTGAGATGTCACTCTTTCTAAACATACATTTATTCTTCCGCTTCTTTATTTTATCGTTTGGTCTTTTAATTTGCCTGATTGATTTATGGCGCACCCTGAAGTAACTATCAAAATCCATTTAAAATGGTCAACGATCCTTCAGTAGATCGGTTGTAGAGACATTAGGAGTTTTTGGAAGCCGGAGAAATGAAAAAAAAAAAAAAAAAAAAATACAACGCCTTTGCCGTTGGATATTTTTCATCGAATCCCGAATCAAAACACGGACCTCTGAAATACCGGCTCAGTGTTCTGACCACTACACTACGAAGGTACGCTAGGACAACGGGAAAAATACCTTATACTGTTATTACTTGTGCATTGAAAAAAATTAAAAATAAGTTTTTGAAGATTTACAAAGCAGCTGTAATAAAATATGAAATAGTAACATATATATATTTTTAAAATGTTTAATAAAAAATTTTTTCCTATCTTCGTGGGCGTTCGGTTGTCCCAATAAATTCCTTTACCTCCACTACACCTACTACACTTCGCGGGATTTCAAAGGGGAAAAATGATGTTTCCGATGTTGTAAAACATACTCCATTCTGACTTCTGATAGTATAAAAAATTTCGGATGATCTTCAGCGCATCATACTCTTGTTTCAACATTTAGTAGAAATATCACGT